CCAGCCCGCCGACCACCCTAGAACCGACGCGTGACAAGGGTGGCAGTGGCGAGGATGAGTGTCGGAACGAATCGTTTGGATGACTTACGAAACATGGAGTTATCGAGTACACGAGAGTACGTCGCGTAGGCTAGTCGGCACTTAAGAACAATCGCGATTATCGCGAGAACAATTATGTTCTATTTGTTAAACGGGAGGGGTAAGAGAGAAAAAATATGAGAGGTATATATTCGCTCCAAGTTAGATGGCATACCTTTGTACGAACAGCGCGCACATGAAACTTAGTCTAGAAGTCTATCTTATGACTACTTAGGTCTACTTAGATCTAAACACACGTATCCCGCGTCATTCATGATGTATGTAACCTAAAAGCTAAAACAGAATATATTATTGTTAATATGAACCTGAAATGAAACGGATTAGTACGAGGAAAGAAAATGAACGAATAGAAACCATGAAGGTTAACCGAGTGGAAGGAGCAAGCCACCGATGAGACAGAAACAACCCTACGATGATATATAAAGAAACCAACGACGAGACATCCGAATATTATACGAAATATTCGAATGTCTGAATGAAAATGAATAGAAATGACAAAATAAAATATGGGAAAACAAGAATAATTAAAATCTGAAAGAAAATAAATTAGTCCTGAAAGTAAAAATTATTAACAATTCAACGATGAGACATAAACAACCCAACGACGAGACAAACAACCTAACGATGAGACATTCGAATATTGTACGAAATATTCGAATTCTCAAATAGAAATAAATAGAAACGAAAAAATAACATCTGAAATTAAAACAATTAAAACCTGAAAATACAAAAAATAATTAATAGCTGTAAACAAAAAAGAAATGATTAGTAAATTGTTTAATGGGGTGGGGTGAGGGTGGGGGGGCCAACCCTACCCTCACTTCGTACCCCCACCCCTCGCGCACAACGAAAATTTAGATGTTACACTTCCGAAGTCGAACCGACAAATGAGTTCTGCCGCCTCGCGCCGCTCCTTATATAGCCGCTGATCGGCCGAGGCCCCCCCACCCCGATCGCAAATTTTCGAATTCGCGCACAACGAAAATTTAGATGTTACACTTCCGAAGTCGAACCGACAAATGAGTTCTGCTGCCTCGCGCCGCTCCTTATATAGCCGCTGATCGGCCGAGGCCCCCCCCACCCCGATCGAAAATTTTCGAGCTTTACCGATTGCATTATTTATTAGTTTACCGCTTTAATAGCTAATAATTTATTAATTTTTTCATTTTTACTATAAATATACGTTGCGAATATTTTGTTAATAACCATATTAATTTGTTATTAACAATCAGTGCAATAATTTATAAACTTTTGGCAAACTATAGGTACATTTTAACACAATTTCGTTATAAGTTCAAGTAATAGCCAACAATTTATTAATTTTTTTACTTTTATTATAAATTTACATTGTGCACAATTTGTTAGTAACAGTACTAATTTATTATTAACGTTAAATATGATAATTTATAACCTTTTCACAAATCATAACTATATTTATGCTTTCATAATGTAAATTTCCGTGATGCATTTATGTTAAGTATTTTTACTACTTTTACGTGACATAAAAATAAGGTCATTTAGCGATCATCAATTAAGGATAATCATGGCATAAAAAAAATGATACGTATTATCTAATAAATAATACTTACTGGCGTATAAAATGTACCTCGATATTTTTCGTCGCTAATTACAAATTTGGACATTGATAAACTAGGAACACTCTCACCTAACTTGTACCACAGCACTGTACCTTCTGTACAATGTACTTTTTACGTAATATTTCATTTTACCCTCAAAATCTTGCCTTTTTCGACAAACTCGCATTTTCCAGAAACCGAGTACAGCAATTTCGATTACGGATTCAGGAAGGTTACGTCTGCGAGAATCAAATGGTAGTAATGGACAATACAATACAAATTAAAAAAGAAAAAAAATATCTGAAATTTATGGAACAGTATAATATTCGAAAAAGCACTGGGATCGAAAGACGAGGTCGGGAAGAAATGGGAAGCGCGGCCGAGGGGGTAATTAACAGGGAGTCGATGGGTATTTACGGGAACCCTGCGGGAAATCACGCGGAGGACGACACCGGCGTGAAATTTGAACGAGTAGTGGCCGCGTGGAGCGATCGGAAGCGATTCGAATGCGATTTGAATTTTGAGTACACTCGCGAATCTGCATATGTAAACACCGCAGCCGCGTCGCTGCATACTGGCCGCGATACTATCGTACCCCGCGTACGCGCAATCATGCCACCTATACAATGTGTCCCGTTCATTCAACCAGACGATCCGAGGTGTTCATTATTAAACCACGGCGCAATTCGGCGAAAAAGCCCCGTTACACCGGCCTGTACACCGTGTAACGGACGATTTCTGGTCTGCATTCAACCCTTTTCGCCTTTGTGCCGGTGACCTGCAGCTTGGCCGCGCGCGCGGGTACCATTGTGCACCTACGATCCGCGAGATATCGTAATTAAGGGCGAAACGAGCTTTCGTAATCATTATTTGTATTCGGTTAATGACGCGAAATTATCTCGCGGCACGGAGCGCTGCTCGCTTTATAATAATAAAGGATGTTCGGTCGATAACGAGTTCTCTCAGCCGGAGTGTCGGCTCGCGCGGAACACCCTGTGAATCGGTAGTTGCACCTAGAAATACTCGCAGTGGCTCGATGCGAGTTGCAGGGACGCGTAGACGATTCGTCGGGGCCGGTGTAATTGCGATTCGTATCGGAAGCATCGATTGATCGTGCCTCCGATCGAAAGACCGTCGACGAGCCCGCGCAGCGGCGCGAAATTTATGCTCCTCGCCGAGGTTTACGACCGTGTAATCCCACGCGTGCTTGTTTCCCTAGAATCCCCCGTTCCTTCCCTCCATTCTCGTCATTTTTTCATCGTTGCGCATTTTTTACGCTTGCAGATGTTCCACGGGACGTGGCTGCAGTCGCAGACGCTGCTGTTGCTGCTGCTGGCAACGCGGCTGCTGTTCGTGGTCGGCCAATGCGGATCGTTCGCTCAGGACAGACAGGACAAGGAGGACAAACAGGATAAACTGGCGCTGTACAAAGTCACTTTAAGGACTTATTGGTCGAGGGCGCGATTTCCACGACATTATCCGGAATGGAAGCCACCGGCGCAGTTCGGCAAGCTGATCGGTGAGTGACTGCATTCCATATTTATTTTATAATTATTTTTTCGTCGAAATTTGGCGTAGAAAAGAGTTTCTCAGCTACATGGCCTTTAGCAAGGCGATCAATTAACGAACGAAGATGTTAGGAACGAAAATTCGCGGATTTCTCTGACGGAGATTTCGCTGGAAATTCGCACGCGCGGTTTCGATGATCGGCGAGTACTTATTTCCCAGCCGCGTTTCGAGCAACGTCAGCCAGCGGAATACGCCATTTCCTGGGTTTATTCTCTTCGACCTCCTTTCCCAGTCCGCGTGAGAAACGATAATTGGAGAAGTTGGAAATTATCGGACGCGTACGTCGTCGTTTCCGGCGCGAGTCGTTGCAGCTACGTCGCGTTCCGCTCCAACCAACGACACACCGAATTCCGTGACAATAACGCGCGAGTTCGGACGCCTATGTACCCCCATACCTCGTCGCAAAAAGAATCGAAAAGACAGGCGTAGACCCGAAGATCAATTTCCAAGAATATCCCCCGCTCGATCGACGAAATCCTCGGGCAAATCCCGGAATAATCGTAGCTTCCGCTCGCATGTATCCGCGAGAATTTGCGCGCGTGGAAAGGCGGATTCGCAGCCAGCGGCGTTGTAAAATTCAACGAGACCGTTTCAATCGCAATCCTGCGTGGGAAAAGAAATTCCACGAGTCTGCTCTCTCGACCCCGTGATGGCGCGCGAGCCGACGGGGTTCGGTCGGTCCATAAACAAGGGGAATATTTCAGATGGTAATGCCGGCGCGGGAACAGGTGTCGCGGCTCCCTGACGGTCTATAAATTTTCCTCGCGGCTCGTAACTCCTCGCAGTTTCGCACTTTCGATTCGCGACCATGCGGCAGCCACCATCGCGATCGAGGGGGTGGGATCGAGAGAGCGGAGCGGAGGGTGGAGTCGAGGGTGGAATCGAGGGTCGAATAAATCCGCGAGGCATATATACCGCGGTCGGACCGCGACGGGAACGTCAAATTCGAATTAGAAAGGCACGCGGCGTTCGGCGAAATTCAATTTCACTTTAAAGACCGTCCCCGCATTCTCGCTGGGTAAACGTCTAGGGGTTGGAGCACGGCGCGTACAGGCAGCGACGGGGTACGGCAGGGCGAAGAAAACAGGAAAGAGAGAAAGGCGGATATGCCGGGAATGCGAATGCGCGGCATTTCCAGCGTCGACGGCATTTTGTTTTACGCTCCGTGGAAGAATTCGTGAATCGTTAGAGCCCGTCTGCCCTCTGAACGGATACCGTGTGCTTCGCCTGCAAGCTGCCGCGTCATCCGCCGAATTTCCCTGCTGTATCGTTAAGCCAACCTCCCCGTGATCCTGCATTCGAGCAACTACGTGACCCTGTACCTTGTCCCTTTTACGTGGTCCTCGAACACGCCGGGTCGGCGTTGCGACACGGTTAAGAGCCTTTCCAGCCTCTCTCTGACCGACTGAAAAGACCGTCGTGGTCTTCGCGTTACGCGTATTAAAAATCCCCAGGTACAACGCGGGCGAGAAGTACAGTAGATTTTTTGCGCCATTAAACTGAGATTACTCGCGTCGACTCGCGGCACGTAAATGTCCAATAAAAGGTAACATCTCGGCCGCACCTATCGCGAATTGATTATCCGCGAAACAAACGGGGGCAATTTATTTCGAATATACCGCTCGACGCTGAATTTTTTCAAGATTTAACCCCGTATTTTAACACCTCGAAGCTTGAACAACGAATACGAGGTAATGGATTAGAAGTAACTACGCGTGAAATATTGAAATGATACCGCAGAGCTTAGAAATGTTACACGATTAAAAACTGGTTCTCGAAATTTGTCCACGCTTTCTAGGTTCCAAGATATAGCGAACGTTTTACCGATTAACCATCCATAATTAGCTGGAAGATTTATTTCCTCGATTCTCGGTTCGACACATTCCCGGGACATACCGCGTACATCGTCTGGACGATTGGATGCGTCCGACCACGAATATCCGCGACTACTGGGTCCAAGATTCCCGTTCCCAACCCGCATCTCCGAGTCGGGGCTCGCAATTAAAAGAATCCATGGATCGGAAGGAGCATCCGGAACTGGGTCGCGTTTTCGCCAAGAAAATAAAAGTCACGAAGCACACGGCCGGCGATAAACACGGACGGCGAGGGAAAAAAGGACGGGAAGGCTACAAAACGTAATCGAAAATCCTTTACGACGATTCGTCGTACGACGAGCAGCCCGGGCTATCGGGGTGGTACGGAGCTCTTCGCCCCTACCCTGCATTCCTCAGCACCCCGACGAGCAAACCTTCCCAGGATATATCCTGCGTATACAGACGAACGGGCACGTTCGATCGTTAACGGCCGACTAATGGAATGGAATTCGCATCCAGATCGTCGGTTCCATCTCTCGACCTTCGTCTCCACCTCCACAGGGGTTGCTCTTTTCTTCTCTTCGCCCTCCCTTCGCCGCCACCTTCGGCTTCCATCCGAGAAATCGTAAAATCGCCACCGACGTTGCTTTCCTCCCCGATCCGCCAGACTTAATTCGATTTTTTCCCCCCTCTGCGTCACTCTCACCCCCTCTCTTTCTCGACCTCTTCCACGTTCTCGCAATTTTATCTTTATTTCTTCTTTCCCACTCACCCTCCGCGGCCTGGCCTCTCGTATATACCGTGTTTTCCGCCACGATCTCGAGGCGAGAGCGCGTTAGCGACGGTGTGCGATAAGAGCGTTAGTGCGTGGCTCTAATGCCGCGGCGAGATCCAGGCGGAAATATCGACAGTCACGTAGCACATTGCCGTGTTTCGCCGATATTGTCCCGGTTAGAATAAAGGCAGCCTTTGCATTAGCCGAGATTTCGTTCTCGCGAATTGCGCGAATTCTCGGACGGCCGTTGCCAGAAATACGGGCGCCACTGTGCACGGGAATTAATAAAACACCCACCCTCGGGTCCGCGGCTAACGTTTATTTAACCGAGATCGATACGCTGGAATCTTCCGCCGCGCCGTGCCGTGATCGATAGCCACGAGCTTGCAAGAAGTAATTTCGTCCTATCGGCTATCGCGCCGTGATCGCGATAGAATTTTTATCGGCCTGTCCGAATCGTGCAGCGAAGGCTATTTAATCGGGGGTTACGGGGATGCGAAGGAAGAGGACCGGACCCTGCGAGAGATCACGAGAGATCGCGAGGCTAACGAGGGATGGCCAAGGTTTCGGGGTGGACGTGACCGAGTGTCACCTAAAAATATTTGCATTCGCGACGGGGGTAGGGAAATGCGGAGGACAGGCGGGGTATTCTTGACACAGGGTGTCTCCGAATCGCGGTGGTTGCTTCCTTATCGATACGCGATTGTCATCGCGAGTTTTCCGAATTTTTCGTTGGTCAAAATCCAAAATCGAAGCCGACGTTAATCCCCTTGGTGCACAGCCCCTAGCTCGAGTGGTTGAACTTTGCCTCGCAAAAGGGCTGATCGCATATTCACGCGAAATCTTTGAGGATGCGAGAAGCTAGACGCGACAGGAAGAAAGAGAGAGAGAGAGAAGGAGAGGAACGCTTTACGCCGAAGAGTTTTCTCTTCTGTGGACGCTCCAAGGGCCGCTTCTAATTATTCTTCTCTCGAGACACCCGCAGCGCGCACGGTGTTCTCGTTATTTTTTTTATTTATAGCCGGAGAGTGACGGGTTTGGAGCTAGCGCGAAGCGGAAGGACAGAGACGAGGGATAGAGCGAGGAGTGGAGCAAGCTGGTGGAAAGAGACGCGTAGAAGAGAGCGAAATAGGATAGGAGAGCCGAGAGAGAAAGCGAGAGAGACTCAGGGTGTGCCCGAGAGCGAAGGGGGCGTAGGTAAAGAGGAGAGGTATTTTTAGCCTGAACCGAGAGAGTCGGGCTTCTCGTTTTGCTCCCGTTTTCTCCTCTCCTTTCTCGTGTACCAGCTGCGCTCGAATCGACGCTGAAAAGCAACAGAATCGGGGAAAAAATGATGCACTTAACGGCGCGTTTCGCGACGATGATATATCCGTGTTTGCGTCCTCGTCTTTCGTTTAATTCCGCTTTTCGCGATCCATCGTTGTAAAATATCCGAAATATCCGCGCGAATTTTCCCCGTTTTTCCCCGTCGTGCAAGATCGTCGATGGGATCGCGTCCTATTTCCACCAACGCGGTCTGACTAGGTGCCATCCGCTTCCACTCGCGAGCCGTGCAGTCACCGCGGTCGCCCCCGTGGCGCAGGTATCGAACCCTCGAGCTCGAGAACCGGAAGTGCTAAACGCGTGACAAGTGGCGTGGGCGGGAAAAACATCGGCGAGCAATTTTTAGTCCACACGAAATTCCACGCCTCTCTTCCTGTTTGCTCCAACAGATTTATGCTCTTCTTCGCGGATATTCGGAATAAACCCGCGTATTTTCACGGTTTAAAGGGGTCAAAGAATCCTTTCACGAGATCGCAGACACGTCTTCGTGAGCGTGATGCAGAAACGAGGATTTTCGTTCCCCCTTCGCGATTTCATTCTCGCGCGTGCACTTGAAAATTCGCGATTTTCGCCTGTCTTCGAACGCGAGCAGCTTCGCATTCGTTCATTAGACTGCGGGGTTAATTAAAGCGAGGCACGACGGTGCTCGGAATCGAAATTCCAGGTAATGCGAATAGCAGCGTCCCCTCGTCGTCGGCTCGTATCAAAGCCGCGCATCTTTCCGGGGCATCTAGCTGTTTCGTAATTGCGCGCCGCTCCTCGGCCACTTCTTCATCCACCTTCTGTCGCTGGTTCGTCTGCTTCTTCTTCCTCGCCTTGGTTAACAAGCCTGGCCGATTTCCACGATCGAGCAGTCGGTCATTTTTTCCGTCACGACTGTCGCGCACCCGGCATTC